TTTTTTTAAACCTCTATAGCATATTACAGTGTATCAATCGAGTGAAATTTCAGAAGGTCCTTAGATGACGGGGTTCTGACATCATAGTTCCGGTTCTATTTTTAGTAAAAGTGACTTTTACATTAACCTTTGGAACTTCTATTGGACATCTACGCCCCATACGGGGCCCCAACATCAAATCTGCAATTTACTTGAAAATAAGATAAATTGCAAACATTAGTCAGCTGTTTAATAGTCAACTAGCTTGGTAACAGCCATACAGCTTTTCTCTTCATCGCTGGTATTGAAGTGTCGCCAACATCATTTTATATCTGGTCATAGTCATTAAAATTCAAGGGTGACATAATGTTTCATTGGTTCACCAAGGAAAATGGATTTATTGTCCATTTTATTCACATCTGTATGTATTTAAAGGATTTTATATACTATGGCTGAAAATTATTTTCTATAAAGTATAAAATTTTAAAAAAATATATGAATTTAAAAAGTGTTCAAATACCATGATATCGGTTGAATGAAGCCTTGTTCAATCCAAATCAAGTGAAGCCGAGACACGGATTATTCCTGGTCATTTTGACCTAATTTAGACGCATCAACAAAACACGATATAAATATAAAGTTAGGTGGGTATATCTCGTTTATATGCTTATATTGGTTCCTTTTACATGCTTAAACTGTGTACACATACTGAATGACGTCCTAAAACTTGAAAATGTCGAAAATTGTTCATTTCTGACCCTTCTAAAAAGAAATCCTACTTGAGTAGATGACCAAAATTGATGATGCTATAAAATTCGTTAATAATCAAGACTTTTAAATGAAAACTTATATTTGCGTAGTATCAGGAAGCGCATATTATTTTCTCTGTGTTTTGTACTGTTGTAAATACCAGTAACTTAGTCTGCGTTTGTTGGCTATCGAGCAGTTCTCAAACTCTCCCTCCCCCCTCCATTTTCTCTGTGTTTTATATTGTTGTAAATACCAGTAACTTAGTCTGCGTTTGTTGGCTGTCGAGCAGTTCTCAAACTACCCCTCCCCTCCATTTTCTCTGTGTTTTGTACTGTTGTAAATACCAGTAACTTAGTCTGCGTTTGTTTGCTGTCGAGCAGTTCTCAAACTACCCCTCCCCTCCATTTTCTCTGTGTTTTGTATTGTTGTAAATACCAGTGACTTAGTCTGCGTTTGTCGGCTGTCGAGCAGTTCTCAAACTCTCCCCCCCTCCGTTTTCTCTGCATTCAGTATCAGGATAAACTGATACGTGTATTAGTGTAATGCACAGATTGTAGTCGCATTCGGACGGTCAACGTTCACTTTTGCAAACCAAACCTTGTTCATGTCCCATCAATGACCGGTTCGGATAAATTCCACTGTATATGTACATTGACATGACATTGGCCAAGAAGTTTCCTACATATTCCCCAATTACCGATCACCACGAACGACACAAACAATACTTACATCGTCAAGTACCAGTCCTATAAATCAGTACTGTCTCGTTCTGGGATTTCTTCTATTCTCCTCCTATAATATACCTTTGAAACGGAAGAGAAATTCGACACCTGTAAGATAATACTTGCTCATAAAAACATGAAATAAAACCATCTGTTAATGTGTTTATGTACTTCCTTGATCATTATTTTTGTTGTTTTTCATCCGTCATACTGTGTTATCTGCACTTGCACTCGATAACGTTGGAAATGCAACCCACACGGACAGCTGCTTTTATTTCGTATTATTAAAATACACCTTTACTTCAGATTAGAATTTGCTGGTGGAACTTTATCCCAAAATTCTAGAGTCCCAAAATTAGTACCCTTGGCCATTTAGTTATTGAGAAGATTTGTGTCATGGTATGAGCTCACTTGCCCTTTGGGAGGGTCAGCTTACAATCGGATGTAGTAATGTAGCTAAGGAAAATTAGAAGAGTTGGGTCTAAGTTACTCACTTTTTCTACAGCTTACAAACAAGTTTGTCACTTTGTCAATTTCTGTGAGCAACTTAAAAGCCTATTCCTAAAGCTTGTTACTACGTAAATGACATGGCTTACAGGACCTTAGGCTTAATCATTCAAACGAAATTCAAATGTAACAGGAAACAGTTAATTTACATTTTCCTGGAATTATAGGACGGACATGTTTGAGACATACTGGTATAGCAGATTGGTTTTGAAAAATATTCCCTTACATGTGTAAGTATTTATTAACTACATACCAATTGCAGTTACAGTAGAAATAAAAATTGTGCAAACAAAAATGTTTCTCTTACTTTTGACATGAGATGCTAAAAATGCTAATTTCAACCCAAACCTACAACTTCATTGAAGGAATTTATTTCTGAACACACAGCTAAAAATCAACGACACTGCCATGGTAACAAATTACTTACGTTTCAGCAAATTCCAACACAGAACAGTTTCAAAACATAACCACGTATAGACACTTTGGAAAATTCACTTCCTGTCAAGCTAGTGTTTGATCTGTAGACACAGGTTCTACTCAAATATTTATCTCCAACTCAATGCAAAAATATTATTCTGAAAAAATATGAAGCCCCCACATTGTCGACTTCAAAATATATAGATCAAGTTTAGTGAGGATTTATTTTTCAAATTTTAACAAAAACCTTTATAATGGGGTAATCTAATGAACAAAAAATCACCCAGAAACTGTGTACTGCTACCAGAGTTATTTGAACATTTGACCTTCCTCACAGCATGCTACTAATTGAGTCTTTTCTTTATTGAGAAGTTGTTTGAAGATTCTATGACATTTTAATCCATGTTATCTTAAAAGAGGGTCAAGGTAATTTAATTGAATAAACTTGGAAACCCTTCATCACAGCCTGCTTCAGGCTTGGTATCTATACCTCATGCCTTATGGTTATTGAGAAGAAATCGTTGGAAAGGTTTTTAAGATATTTGATCTCAGACCTAGAAAATTGTTAAGATCTTTCCTTTACACCAACTTTGTAGAACTTCCTCCCAGCATGCTACAGGTCAAACATCAGTACCTATAGGTCATTTAAAGGGAAAAGTTTATAACAGAAGACGGACACCCATCATAACATAAGATCAGTTGTCCTGAAGCAAGGGGAAGTAAGTCAGAAATGAACAGAAGTGACAACATAACAATGGGAAACAAGTGAGACAGCAAATAAAAGAGAGGATATGTGTTTTGTTATGGTCTCTGTCATCTTTACAGAACATAAATTATACGTAACAAAATCAAATAAAAGGAATACAAATTCTAAAAGGAACTTTTAATCATAAAAAATCTTGTCACAGGCTTAGTAAAAACATGAACAATTTGAGTGAAAAAATATAAAAACATGTAATTCCTCAGCAAAAAGGTAAATCAAAATTGAAATAAATAAAATGGAAACACAATATATATGAATAAATATTGTTATACGTAAATGTTTTGCAAAGTTAAGATAAATTATGGTATTTCATTACAAACATGAATTAGGACAAGTGTTCATTTTTTGTTATAAAGAACAACATCAATACCTGCTCATACAATTATAACAAGTATTTGACTGAATACAGTATGAAATATTCAAGTATACCTGCTTGAAAACAAGTTTCATTGATATGTGAAACAATCTCATTACAGATATTCAAACATTCCCAGAGATCTACCATATGATGAAATTGTTTATGTCCATATTACATGTGTGTGTTGTATACAGATAACCTGTCAATATTTAAGGATTTAACAAATTTGAAATAAAAAAACTTAAGTAATAATGAGCTTGTTTTAATCAGGAAAAATTTGAAAAGTGATACACAGGAACTCTCCATAACAGAATTTTATACCAGCATGCTGCATGCCCGATAAGTAGACTGAAAGATTTTAAGAAATTTAATGCCTGTTATCTTCAAAAAAGGTCAAGGTCATTATTTCAAATAAATTTGGAAACTTTTCATCTCAGCATGCTACAGGCCCATTTCAGTGCCCCATGCCATTCAGTTATTGAGAAGATTATTGATAGATTTTAAGAAATTTGATCCCCTTTATCTTGAAAGAAGGTAAAGGTCATTCAATAGAATAAACTTGGAAACCCTTCATCCCAGCATGCTACAGGCCCATATCAGTTGCCCACACCTTTCAGTTACTGGGAAGGAGTTGATTGAAAGATTTGAAGAAATTTTACCATTTGAACATTTAAACATTACATATTACACCTTCTTAAATTATATGTAACAAAATTACATAAAAGGGATACCAAATTCTGAATTTTTTTTATTAACATTAAAGCTTATCACAGACTATTAAAAACTCAAACAATTTGAGTGAAGAAAACTATGGATACAAAATATATAATTCCTACAGAAAATATAAACCATCATTTAAAAATATATGTATATATATTGCATATAAAAATATATGATTTGTTAATGTTTTGTACAGTTCAAATATGGTATTGTACAATAAATTGGACAAGTGCTCAATTTGTTATTAACATCAATATCTGGTAATTTGTAATATATATATATAGTATATAAGCATGGTATGAAATAACATTCAAAGTATGTCTGGTTGTAATATAATCTTATCACAGATGTTCCAATATTGCCATAGATAACGTTATACAATGCAGAACCAAACTGATTAATCATTTTGGCAGTTTTAATCTATAAAAAATGTGGTATACAGACAAACAAAATCACAGAAATCATATATATAGTAACTGCTATGTCTCCTACCATAGCACATTTTGAGACAGATTTTGTCTCTCTTTACCCATAGTATGAGAGTTTCAAGCTCTACACCATATCATCGTGAAGAGGTCAAGGTTAAACAATCAAGGTTCAAAGTCACATTTGACAACTTCTGAAAATTCACTGAACAATAATACTTACATTCATGGGAATGTTAGTATTCATGTCTGGTAGACATTTTCCAATCTTTTTTATGTGTTGCAGCCCAAAGGCTACAAGACAATTACCAGATATGATCTTTTTAACCTTGGGCCAGTTTTGAATTTGGTGACTTCACAATGGCTTTAAAAAGCTCAATAAAAGTTAGTAAATGTATTGATGGGTTTGCCAAGGATAGTTTGTTTTGACTTGGAAATCTGTTGTTGTATATGCGGGACATATAAAGCCATTTGCTCCAAGTAACGTCTGATTGAAGTCTCCAAGTGATCACTCCTTCTCAGGTGGTCGTCTGTCAAACGAGGACTGGCAAAAATCTGTCGGATCGAAGAAAATATTTCAGCATCATTAGAGCAGATTTCTGAATCCTACATAAGTATAGGGTTATCATAAGTGATCATTCAGGTGACTTTCATCGTATTGTTAAACAACTTCATATTTGTCTTGATTTTTAAAACCTTTTGCTCCAATGTGACATATATCTCACAGAAACATATTTCCTACAAGTAATTTTGCTCCAATTACAGAACACATATAATGTGCCACTATTAAATCTGTTTTCAATTACTTTTTCTTCATGTTAAATTTTCAAATGAATATAATCATTGATTGTAATTTTAACAATTTTCATGATATGAAAAAGATTTCACAAAAAATTGTGAGAATACTTTATGGCCAATAGATAAGTTGCAACAAATAGTATATTGATAATGTGTCCTCTGTGTCCTTTTTTAACATTGTATATTACACACCTGCTCCAGACGACCAGTACTGAATAGAAGTTTGTCTAGTAGGAGGCTGATCATATTCATCACCCCAGACTTCTGTGTTGAATTGGACAACATGGTGTAGATGTTCTCTATAACCATATGTACCTGTCAACAGAAACAAACTCCATAAGGTTGGTTTATTTATTTCCCAGTTATGGAAGTGAGGCAAGGAAAATCCCTCTTTACAATAGAAGATATACCTTGTTTACCAAGGGAGGTCAGTATAATTCTTGTTTATAAAGGGAGGTAAGTAGAATCCATTTTCACAAAGAGAGATAATTAGGATCCCTGTTTACAAAGGCACATAAGCAAGATACCTGTTTACAAAGGGAGATAAGTAGAACCCTTTTTACAAAGGGAGGTAAGTAGGATCCCTGTTTACAAAGGGAGGTAAGTACGATCCCTGTTAACAAAGGGAGGTAAGTAGGATACCTGTTTACAAAGGGAGATAAGTAGAACCCTGTTTACAAAGGGAGGTAAGTAGGATCCCTGTTTACAAAGGGAGGTAAGTAGGATCCCTGTTAACAAAGGGAGGTAAGTACGATCCCTGTTTACAAAGGGAGGTAAGTAGGATACCTGTTTACAAAGGGAGGTAAGTAGGATCCCTGTTAACAAAGGGAGGTAAGTACGATCCCTGTTTACAAAGGGAGGTAAGTAGGATACCTGTTTAAAAGGGAGATAAGTAGAACCCTGTTTACAAAGGGAGGTAAGTAGGATCCCTATTTACAAAAGGAGCTAAATAGGATACATGTTTACAATGGGATATAAGTAGAATATCTATTTACAAAGGGAGATAAGTAGAATCACTATTTACAATGGGATATTAATAGAATACCTATTTAGAAAGGGAGATCAGTAGAATCCCTGTTTACAAAGGAAGATAAGTAAAAGACAAACATCTGAGATTAACTTCCTGTTTGCAATTAATGGTTTACCTTAAAGTTGTATACATAAGATATTTATCTATATATAACTGATGAAGAGAAATATACTGTTGACATACCCTGAAAGAAAACCCAGAATATTTACCTCTCTTACGAAGACCAGGGAAGATTTCACAAGCTTATAAATTTCGTAGTCCATCAACTCTCTTGGTCTATATTTCGTACTCCTTTGTCTCTACAATGTAATCAATATAGGTGTTAACTGTATTCATTCCTACAATTATTCCACATACAAACATAAAGATTTCAACTAAATCTCAAAGGAGGTTGTAAGGTACATATCAAAAATATAACTTTACTAAACAGCAATAAATATGGGCAAGCTTATTACCAGATACTGATGTATGTTTTGTTACCACTGATGTATGTTTTGTTTACATTAATGTAAGTTTTGTTATCACGATGTAAGTTTTGTTTCACTGATGTATGTTTTGTTTACGCTGTTGTAAGTTTTGTTTTCACTGATGTAAGTTTTGTTTACAGCATTGGTTTAATTTTGTTTACACAAATATAAATTTTGTTTATACAGACTAGGGGTTAAACTTACTGCTGCTTTCACTGCGTAGAATTTTGCTTTGGCTTCCACAGTCTCCACATTTAATATCCGAATCCATTTGTGCCTGTGCTCTACGCTCTTCTTGTACATTTTAATAGGAAATGCATAACTGATATTGTTATCAAGCTCCATCGTCTGAAAATGAATATTCACACAATAATTTTACCATTGTTACAAAAGAATAAAGAACAATCCGAATCAGGCCTGATTACAATTACAACGATTTGCAAAAGTTATAATACACAACTTTTGACACCAACCCCCTGACAAATTAGAACTGTTGTCCATGGGCAAACTCTCCCCACTCCTACCCTCTAATAACACCCAAACATTTCAATAACATAAAATATTTGATGTCATTTTGTAACATCATGGCCAATGCAGTCGTGTAAGAATCTGTTGAAATTTTTTTTTTTTTTCATAAATATCAAATCTATTGCAAAGAAGCATAACAATGTGAAGAGGGAGAATACCTAAACCTGATGTAGATTGCACTCATCGACAATGTATAATGATTATTAGCATCAAATTTCCTTGAAATCCTTTCAGTAGTTTAGGAGAAGCTGGTACATCAATGAGTTCCCAAGGGGTATAAATTTCCAAAAAGGGGAGATAACTCAACCGGATATAGATTACACACAAGGATTATAAGGACAAGGATTATTACCAGCAAGTTTTGTTGAAATCTACTAAATAGTATAGGAGGAGCATCCTATACAACATTGTATAAGAATTATAGCCAGCATGTATAGTTGAAATCAATGCAGTAGTTTAGGAGGAGTAACCGGTATATTGTTGTATCTACGCATAAAGGGCCTGTTGAACGAACCGACAACTTGATTCTAGTATACTCCTCCTCCATCCAAACTTCTTTGCGATAAGGTATAATAATGAGGCACATAAAATCAGGTTTTCAAAGAATTTCTAAGTAACCTAGACTCACCACTTCTTCTTTCTTGTTTTTTGCACACACTAACATGTTCATAGCAACATGTGAGCTCCAATCTTTCAAACATTCCCAACAGAAACTGTGTGAACATTTACACCTCATCTGTGAACAACCACCATTTTTCTCCATAGGGTAATGACATTTAGGACATTGCTTTACTTGAACATAATATGTCATTGTTTCTACAGGAGTCCACCTGCCATCATCACCTATAAATGATACATGACAATATGGTCAGCAAAGTCACAATAAGGAAAGGAATGAAAAGTAAATCTGACTTTATTTGTCTTGAGATCCTTAACCACTTTATATTGGAGCCCAGATATAAAGGTTTTCTAACCATCCATCGGCAAATCAAAGCAAGATCTGAACTAGATGTAATCAAATCACAGGTATTTCAGAGTTAATACATTAAATTATGAATTCTTTCCAAAACATCCAAATAATCTTAAGATGACATTGTAGTAACACTTCTTTTGAAAAAATTTTAACTCCCCTAACTACCAATTTTTTCTGTTTTTTAAACTTCATTTTCAGTATATTGTACATTGTACAACTTTGTATTTCATCATGTTCCAAAAACATTTTTTCCCCTCCCTGCTAGTATCAAGTGGGTTCCTACTAGCTATGAATAAATGATTGAAATACAAGGTGTTGGAAGAACAAAGAGTAAACTAGAAAACAATATACTGCTACATTGCTAATCTAACCATTTTGAAGAAGCATCTTCTTATAGACTGAGTACTGATCACAGGTCGCAGGCCAGTGGACATCAGACCGACAGGAGAAACACCAAGCCTTGCCACAGACACATAGGACCGGTGAAAATCTTTTGCCTGAAAAATAAGCATTGTATAGAAATTTCATGTTCCGATTAGGGCTGTGCTAGTAAACATGAGTTTGATCGGTCCTGATGTAGTAGCTAAGTGTATGTTTGACCGTGGTGAGCTAGCAAGGCACTTGTGTGACCCTGTTAAGCTAGCAAGGTGTATGTTTGACCCTGGTGAGCTAGTGAAGTGTTTGTTTGACCCTTGTGAGCTAGCAAGGTGTATGTTTGACCGTGGTGAGCTAGCAAGGCACTTGTGTGACCCTGTTAAGCTAGCAAGGTGTATGTTTGACCCTGGTGAGCTAGTGAAGTGTTTGTTTGACCCTTGTGAGCTAGCAAGGTGTATGTTTGACTCTGGTGAGCTAGCGAAGTGTTTGTTTGACCCTGGTGAGCTAGCAAGGCGCTTGTTTGGTCCTGGTGAGCTAGTGAAGTGTTTGTTTGACCCTTGTGAGCTAGCAAGGTGTATGTTTGACTCTGGGGAGCTAGCGAAGTGTTTGTTTGACCCTGGTGAGCTAGCAAAGTGTATGTTTGACCCTGGTGAGCTAGCTGAGTGTATGTTTGACCCTGGTGAGCTAGCAAAGTGTAAGTTTGACCCTAATGAGCTAGCTAAGTGTTTCTTTGACCCTGGTGAGCTAGCTAAGTGTATGTGTGACCCTGATGAGCTAGCAAGGTGCTTGTTTGACCCTGGTATGCTCGCAACGTGTATGTTTGACCCCAGTGAGCTAGATAGGTATTTGTTTGACCCTGGTGAGCTAGCTAAGTGTTTCTTTGACCCTGGTGAGCTAGCTTAGTGTTTCTTTGACCCTGGTGAGCTAGCTAAGTGTTTCTTTGACCCTGGTGAGCTAGCTAAGTGTTTCTTTGACCCTGGTGAGCTAGTTTAGTGTTTCTTTGACCCTGGTGAGCTAGCTAAGTGTTTCTTTGACCCTGGTGAGCTAGCTAAGTGTATGTGTGACCTTGATGAGCTAGCTAAGTGTATGTTTGACCGTAGTGAGCTAGTAAGGCACTTATTTGACCCTGATGTGCTAGCAAGGTGTATGTTTGACTCTGGGGAGCTAGCGAAGTGTTTGTTTGACCCTGGTGAGCTAGCAAAGTGTATGTTTGACCCTGGTGAGCTAGCTGAGTGTATGTTTGACCCTGGTGAGCTAGCAAAGTGTAAGTTTGACCCTAATGAGCTAGCTAAGTGTTTCTTTGACCCTGGTGAGCTAGCTAAGTGTATGTGTGACCCTGATGAGCTAGCAAGGTGCTTGTTTGACCCTGGTATGCTCGCAACGTGTATGTTTGACCCCGGTGAGCTAGATAGGTATTTGTTTGACCCTGGTGAGCTAGCTAAGTGTTTCTTTGACCCTGGTGAGCTAGCTTAGTGTTTCTTTGACCCTGGTGAGCTAGCTAAGTGTTTCTTTGACCCTGGTGAGCTAGCTAAGTGTTTCTTTGACCCTGGTGAGCTAGTTTAGTGTTTCTTTGACCCTGGTGAGCTAGCTAAGTGTTTCTTTGACCCTGGTGAGCTAGCTAAGTGTATGTGTGACCTTGATGAGCTAGCTAAGTGTATGTTTGACCGTAGTGAGCTAGTAAGGCACTTATTTGACCCTGATGTGCTAGCAAGGTGTATGTTTGACCCTGGTGATCAGATAGCTAGGTGTTTGTTTGACCCTGGTGAGCTAGCAAGGCGCTTGTTTGGTCCTGGTGAGCTAGCGAAGTGTTTGTTTGACCCTGGTGAGCTAGCAAAGTGTATGTTTGACCCTGGTGAGCTAGCTGAGTGTATGTTTGACCCTAATGAGCTAGAAAAGTGTATGTTTGACCCTGGTGAGCTAGCTGAGTGTATGTTTGACCCTAATGAGCTAGCTAAGTGTTTCTTTGACCCTGGTGAGCTAGCTAAGTGTATGTGTGACCCTGATGAACTAGCAAGGTGCTTGTTTGACCCTGGTATGCTCGCAAGGTGTATGTTTGACCCCAGTGAGCTAGATAGGTATTTGTTTGACCCTGGTGAGCTAGCTAAGTGTATGTGTGACCCTGGTGAGCTAGCTAAGTGTTTCTTTGACCCTGATGAGCTAGCTGAGTGTATGTTTGACCCTGGTGAGCTAGCTTAGTGTATGTTTGACCCTGGTGAGCTAGCTTAGTGTTTCTTTGACCCTGGTGAGCTAGCTAAGTGTTTCTTTGACCCTGGTGAGCTAGTTTAGTGTATGTGTGACCCTGGTGAGCTAGCTAAGTGTTTCTTTGACCCTGGTGAGCTAGCTAAGTGTTTCTTTGACCCTGGTGAGCTAGCTAAGTGTATGTGTGACCTTGATAAGCTAGCTAAGTGTATGTTTGACCGTAGTGAGCTAGCAAGGCACTTATTTGACCCTGATGTGCTAGCAAGGTGTATGTTTGACCCTGGTGATCAGATAGCTAGGTATTTGTTTGACCCTGGTGAGCTAGATAAGTATTTGTTTGATCTTGATGTGTTAGCTAGGTGTTTATTTATTGTTTGTTATAGTATCTTGCTATTCAAGAATAACCCATAGTCTGAGAATCAGTTATCTGTGTCAAAATCACAAAATGTATTCGAGTGTTATGTAGGAGATATATATTCAAGTATGTAGTGACACAAAGAAAAAATACGAAACATTAAGAGATTATCAGAGGGAATGAGAATAAATGATATTATAAAATTCAGTTCTTTACCTGGATTTGATAACTTAGCAACTGTACGACAGGAGGTCTTTGGACACCATTGCCATTTCTGTGAACTCTCCACCAAAGATTCCATATTTCTGTATATCCACTTAGAGACCACATCTGAAGGTAGCAGGCAGCTAACCATCACTTCATCTACCACAGAGTCACAGCCATATGTCTGTAATGTAAAGGGGCGGGGCACATATAACATCACTTCATCTGCCACAGTAACAGTTATATGTCTGTTATGTAAAGGGGTGGGGCACATATAACATCACTTCATCTACCACAGTCACAGTTATATGTCTGTTATGTAAAGGGGTGGGGCACATATAACATCACTTCATCTACCACAGTCACAGTTATATGTCTGTTATGTAAAGGGGTGGGGCACATATAACATCACTTCATCTACCACAGTCACAGTTATATGTCTGTTATGTAAAGGGGTGGGGCACATATAACATCACTTCATCTACCACAGTAACAGTTTATATGTCTGTTATGTAAAGGGGTGGGGCACATATAACATCACTTCATCTACCACAGTCACAGTTATATGTCTGTTATGTAAAGGGGTGGGGCACATATAACATCACTTCATCTACCACAGTCACAGTTATATGTCTGTTATGTAAAGGGGTAGGGCACATATAACATCACTTCATCTACCACAGTAACAGTTATATGTCTGTTATGTAAAGGGGTGGGGCACATATAACATCACTTCATCTACCACAGTCACAGTTATATGTCTGTTATGTAAAGGGGTGGGGCACATATAACATCACTTCATCTACCACAGTCACAGTTATATGTCTCTAATGACAGTGACTGACCTTTTATAACCTCAAACTTAGATATAGATATCTTTACTACCAGTATGTAGCTAGATTATAGTGATCTACATTAGCTACATTTAATCTTCCATACCTGGCAAGTAATCTTCAGGGCTCCCTCATGGATTTTTTCCCAAATATGTCTTCTCCAGCAGTCCACACAAAAGTAATGGCTACATGGCATCAGTATACAGCCCTCTGTGTATGGGGCATCTGACTGACAGAGGCATGTTTCACAGAATCCGAACACAGATGATGAATTTGACAAGTTAATTGGGAAAACATAAAAAGAGGAGAGCAGAGAATTCTGGAAAATAATAACAGTTTACAAAAGATAAAACAAATATCCCGATTATGGGTAGTTAGATGCTGATATAGAAAAATTACATATTGACTGATTTATTTCTAATTATCTACGAAATAAACATATTTAAAAAAAAACAACAAAGGAGTTTGGCTTAACTCACACCTTCTAATAAACCATAAACTAGAAAATATCAGTTAGACATGAATGGTCCTGCTCCACCATTTGATTTCAAACAAGATGCGACATGCAGTGGAATAGTAGGAAATGGTTAATATTTCATAAATATATATTATTTATACGTAACTCCAGTGGAAAGAATTTTTACGGATGATCTGAAACATTTTGAACAAGTATATAAATTCTCACCATGTCCTGCGTCACCCTGTCTCTCTGTGTGTCTTCTGTGCTGATTAATGTGTTGAAGGCCTCTTTCACAGTCCCCAACTCAACGACTGACCCACATAATGTGGCAGCTAGTTGACCAATACCCAAACCTTTGTGTTTTTTCTCCTTGATACATCTGTTACAATGAGATCATACATACAATAAAGAAATAAGTGAAATCTTACAATATTAAAGCCATGTGTCGATCTGTCAAAAATTTCAAAATAGTGACAAAATCTGTTTTATTTTAACATAACACAAGACTTTAGTTATATACTTAATATCTAGGCTGAAGATTAATTACAATCTTATGATTGACAAGATACAAAGACTTCCAGTTTGATTTGAAACTTTTACAAGTATGAACTGCCACACATTTGTTGAGGTACACGCATGATGACTACAACACTAACCTGTGATGTTGTGAAAATTGATCGAGGAGATTTCTGACAAATAGCACCACCTCCTGGATGGTAAATACTCTATCCAACTGAAGCTGACTCTGAAGTGATGTGGAGAGCTCCTTCGTATTCACCTGATCTGACTGAACTCTGATCCTACATAAAATAATGTATGTATGTATTCGACTAACAAAACATTGAGCAAAGAAATGCTTGGTTTTATTTTTTCACATAACACATAGATCAACCATTATTTTCTATTGTAGTACCATTTTATGTAGTATCACAAAAAAATAAGTTTTATTCTAAAACACACCTTCAATAATGGGCTATTCAGACAAAAATTCATAGTTTGCGTAGATCCAGCGCTATGCAGGCTCCTTTATTACTACAAATATTGTTTACTACTCTAGAATAAGTTGAAATCTTTTTTGACAACTCTCATACCAATATTCTGGATCTTGTCTTGATACCGCTGACCATTCAGATTTCTGCCAAAGTACCAAGCTTCCCTGAGTTGTCTCTCCTGTAACACTAACTTTCACCATTTGTGGAATGCAAGATCCAACATGGAACTCCCCAGGGTGAGCTAGTCTGTAATTCTCCATACTTTCCTTTTCAATGACACAACGACAACCGTCACTGTCAAAGTCAGCATTGTCCCACACAAGGTTTGTCACAGCTGATGTTATAACCCCCGTACCAATAACCTCATACTTTTTCACCTCTTTCTCCTCTGATCCACTGTCTGGGTGTTCTACATGGATGACTTTATTCTTTCCAAAGTAGGCACCAGAATTGTTCCCTGAAGCTGTATTAGGTGTTTTGTGGCCATGACTCCGCTTGGAAAGAGAATTCCGAGGCCTATTACCAGGTGTTAGGCAAAAGTCTGCTAGTGTTGCGTGAACTGGCTCATTATGAAGGTACATACTTGCCTCCTCATCAAGACAGTCAAACTCCTCCTCAAAACAGGAGAGTTCTTCATCATCACGGTAACCATTCTGATACAGTCTCTGGTCTGAACTCGAGATGTTTTTGAAATACCATTGAGGGCTTGGTTTTGAACAGCATCCCTTGGATTTCATGTGCGGGGCTTCATAATAGGAGATGTATTTGTGAACTACAATAGTACCATTGAGAGTTTGATATTAGTGAGAAATGTTCACACCAAAATACAAAAATACACAACAAAACAATACAAAAAAAATCATCTGGTGTGGAAAAACAATAGATAGCGTTAAATGACAAATTTCATAAATCTCTTACAAAAATGGAAACCAGAAGAACACAGGCCTAAACGGTCATCTGTCTATAAAGACCAATATAAGCCACAGGTCAAATAGTCCTAAAACTTCTGTACAACTTTCAAAAGATACATTGCTGGTTCATAAAAACATTTTCTACAAACTCGAAATAATTTTCTTGACATATATGTCATTACCATGGATCTATTTCTTGTGAAAAAAGATGTTTGAAGATCTCAACTCATTTGACACAAGAGACCTTGAGTAAAAGTCAAGGTCAATCAGTTTTGGTAGCCCTTCATCCACTTATATTAAAGAATCAATATCAACAATCTGGACCATTTTATTATTGAGAAGAAGTTGTTTGAAGATTTTAATACATATGACCCCTGTGACCTTTAAAAAGAGAAAAGGTCAACCACATGAACAAAATTAGTAACTCTTCATCCAAACATGCCACAGGCCCAATATAAGCACCCTATGCATTTTGGTCATGAAGAAGTTATTTAAAGATTTTGACATATTTGACCCTTGTGACCGTAAAAGTGGGTCAAGGTCAATAATATGAACACACTTGGTAGCCATTCATCTCGGCATGCTACAGACCAAATATCACTCTTGGTCTTTTGGTTATTGAGAAGAATTTTTACAAATTTATCCCCTGTGACCCTGAAAATGGGTTAATGTCATACATATTAAGAAAGTTTGTACTCCTCCATCCCATCATGCTAAATTGCTAATTTCAACACCTTTGGCATTTTGGTTACTGAAAAGAAGTATTTAAAGATATTAACATATGTGACACCTCTGACTGTGATAGTTGGCCAAGGTCATTCAAGTCTACAATCTTGGTAGCTCTCATTCATGCATGCTACAGGCCAAATATCAACAACCTGGGCCTTTTGGTTATTGATAAGTCATTTAAAGATTTCAACATATTTGATACTTGTGACCTTGAAAGTGGTAGCACTTCATCTCAGCATGCTACAAGCTAAATATCATCACTCTTGGTCTTTTGGTTATTGAGGAGTTCTTTAAAACATTTCAACTTATTTGACAGAGGTGATTTTGAAAGTGGGTGAAGGTCAATAATATGAACAAACATGATAGCCCTTCATGCCAGCATGTTAAATTGTTTCAACATATTTGACCCCTTTGACTTTGAAAGCAGGTCAAGGTCACTTATTCTAACAAATTTGGTACCCCTTTATTCAATTTGACCCCTGTGACCCTGAAAATGGACCAAGGGCATTAATTTAAACAATCTTGGTATACCTTCATCCCAGCATGGTGAAGGCTTAATATCAGCACCCTAGGCCTTTTGCTTATCAAGATTTTTAAAATTTTGAAATGTTTGATAACTGTGACCTTCAAAGTGGGTCAAGGTCAATCACTTTAATAATCTTGGTAGCCATTTACGCCAGCATACCACAAGCCTATTATCAGCATCCTAGGCCTTTTGGTCATTGTGAAGAAGTTGTTTACAGATTTTCACATATTTTACCCCTGTGGCCTTAAAAGCGTGTCAAGGTCATTCATTTTACAAACTCCAAAGCCCTTTGTCCCACCACACTACATGCCCAATATCAGCAACTTGGGCCTTTTGGATATTGAGAAGAAGTCATTTGAATGCAAAGTTTATGTATAGTGGACTGCAGACTGAGGACAGCACAACACGATGGACGAAACAGAATAGCTAAAGTCATCCTGATTCTTCTGGTCAGATGACCTTATAAATGTGAGATTCTGTTCATCATATAACTTTGCTGTTTTTGCAAGCATTTTATTCAAATACCTGAGTAATGTTCAATCTAGGCTGACTATCATATATACTAAACAAAAAAAGAAAGGTAACACTACTTTATTCTGTGATTAATTAATTAACCCCTTCATAAATCCTTACCAATCATGTGCGTATAAAGTAATTGATGAATTCTGATAAAAATGCAGTCATGGTTCATTATAAAACTTTGTGTTCAGTTGATTTTATTCGACTGTAAAGGACGTTGGGGTCAATTTCAAAGGTAACAACATTCGAGGAGAAAAACGCTCCCCTCGTTGCCTCCACACTCTGCGCCTTCCGTCACCATGTTGCAGACAAAACCTGGACTCATCTGAAAACAGATTGTTCCATTGTCATAAGGCCCAACGACGGTGAACACGGGTCCAGTTACATCGATTATTACGGTGACGTCGCAACAAATTGGGTCCAGTGTAGGGACGACACGCTTTCAATTGGTAGGCCCTCAACCTGTTGCGGACTGTTTGGGGGGACACACTACTGCGGTTACGAATCGATTGCGCAAGTGTATCAATCGTATACGACGGTTATCCCTGGCGGTAGTTTTATGGGGTCGGCCGCTTCGGGGACGATTGGATGTTGACCCAGTTTGGTTTAAACGACTTACCAACTGGCAAATTGTCTTAATTATGCAACCAAAATGCCGTGCAACTCGACGGCGAGACTCCCAAGCCTGGATCATGCCTACAGCCCTTTCTCTCTGTACTTGTGACAGCCGGGGCATAATGATAAAGTTGATAGATAGCAAGGTTCGGTGATTTCTAAGTCCTAAGGATCTAAGGAACAGTTGTCAGTTTGAATGTTTATGAAATTCAAGCGAAGACAGAAGTTAGTTGCAGAAAACCTCGTGCAGCTCTTTCGCTAATACAGACTTTCACGCTTGAATGATTTTGGTAACGCCCTTGGATTTTGTAATGTAAAACATTACCATTTTCTAATATTGCACAAACGTCATTTGGTTTTCACTCATTTACAGGTATTCTCCAAGGAAACATGTTAACCTTTCTTTTTTTGTTGAGTATATATGTTTTACTCAGTATTATTTTCTTCAGTAATGTTACAAATGCTTATCTTGACATGAAAAATACAAAAATATCGAGATGACAATAGAATCTTAATTCAAACTCAAATTCAATAAAACAAGGAGTAAATATGACAAAATCAATGATGACACCAAGATATGTAAACATATGACTCACAAATGAAACAAAAGGAAACATTCATCCAATCACAACTAGCGTAAAGTGTTATTTAACATGTGGTCGTAACACGATTCATGTACATGTATTAGATGTTTCTATGCTGATAACAAGAGAGTGTGTAATAAGGGTGTTATCAGAGAAGTTATCTACCACTAGTGTCAAAGCACTGATTGTGGGAGTTATATTATAATGGGTGTTATCGGAGAAGTTATCTACCACCAGTGTTAAAGCACTGATTGTGGGAGTTATATTATAATGGGTGTTATCGGAGAAGTTATCTACCACTAGTGTCAAAGCACTGATTGTGGGAGTTATATTATAATGGGTGTTATCGGAGAAGTTATCTACCACCAGTGTTAAAGCACTGATTGTGGGAGTTATATTATAATGGGTGTTATCGGAGAAGTTATCTACCACTAGTGTTAAAACACTGATAATGGGAGTTATGTTATAATGGGTGTTATCGGAGAAGTTATCTACTACTAGTGTCAAAACACTAATAATGGGAGTTATGTTATAATGGGTGTTATTAGAGAAGTTATCTACTACTAGTGTCAAAACACTAATAATGGGAGTTATGTTATAATGGGTGTTATCGGAGAAGTTATCTACTACTAGTGTCAAAACACTAATAATGGGAGTTATATTATAATGGGTGTTATCGGAGAAGTTATCTACTACTAGTGTTAAAACACTAATAATGGGAGTTATATTATAATGGGTGTTATCGGAGAAGTTATCTACTACTAGTGTTAAAACACTAATAATGGGAGTTATATTATAATGGGTGTTATCGGAGAAGTTATCTACTACTAGTGTTAAAACACTAATAATGGGAGTTATATTATAATGGGTGTTATTAGAGAAGTTATCTACTACTAGTGTTAAAACACTAATAATGGGAGTTATGTTATAATGGGTGTTATTAGAGAAGTTATCTACTACTAGTGTTAAAACACTAATAATGGGAGTTATGTTATAATGGGTGTTATCGGAGAAGTTATCTACTACTAGTGTCAAAACACTAATAATGGGAGTTATGTTATAATGGGTGTTATCGGAGAAGTTATCTACTACTAGTGTCAAAACACTAATAATGGGAGTTATGTTATAATGGGTGTTATCGGAGAAGTTATCTACTACTAGTGTCAAAACACTAATAATGGGAGTTATGTTATAATGGGTGTTATCGGAGAAGTTATCTACTACTAGTGTCAAAACACTAATAATGGGAGTTATGTTATAATGGGTGTTATCGGAGAAGTTATCTACTACTAGTGTCAAAACACTAATAATGGGAGTTATGTTATAATGGGTGTTATCGGAGAAGTTATCTACTACTAGTGTTAAAACACTAATAATGGGAGTTATGTTATAATGGGTGTTATGAGAGAAGTCATCCACCCCTAATGTTAAAGCACTGATAATGGGACTTATGTAATGATGGGTATTATAATAGACAAGGTATGTGATGAATGAAAATATGTATTTATTAAAATCTTTATTCTACTTTGTATATCAGCAGTCAAATTTGAAAGAATTTTAACTCATTTTATTTGTCCTACAGCTTGCAAAGAGGATTTAAAAGCTCATCCCCTAACATGCAACTTCACATATATAGCATAGCCCAGATTCTATTGGTTATTGAAAGAAGTTTAGTTTTTATCACATTTGATCCTTCTGACCTTGAAAATGAGCCCAGGTAATTCATTTGAACATTTAGTTGTCCTGTATTCAAGCATTCTACTGGTCCATTATCATGACTTTGGGCCTCTTCGTTATTGAAAAGGGATGTTTGAAGATTTTTTGCCCATTGGCCCCTGTGACCTTGAAAAAAGATCAAGGTCATTTTCTTGATCAAACTGGGAAGCCCTTCACCCCAGGATGCTACAGGTCAAATATCAGTACCACTGGCCTTTTGATTATTGAGAAGTCATGTCAAGAGAAAAGCTGATGTCGGATGGACACCAGGCCATTGCAGTAAACTCACTTCCCCATTCAGGTAGGTGAGTCAAAATGCTAATTCAGCAGACAGATAATAAAGAAAGGTGAGAAGAGGCAAACAAGTCTGTGATTAGTCTGGTTACCTATTGTCTATAATACATATAACATATTGTTCAAATATTGAATAGTAGACATCTGTGATAAATCTCTATATATGTTCCTATAAAATAAACCATATAGCACAGTCTTACTTACATTTACACCTCGTTCTCTTGGAGGAGCTACAGAGTTGATAATTTACTTCATATCTGACCTCTGGCACAGACACGTTGTGAAAGTCACCATTTAAAACCCTAAACAAATGAAAATAGAACAATTAGATAATTAGCTTGGTTTTATTGTGAAACCTTCAGTGAATCAAGGTTTAGTTGGTGTAAATTCTGGGTTTCCACCGATTTCCACTTGCCTATCATTTGTATGAATGTATAAAAGCATAACTGATATTATCTTATGTTTTAACTGTAAATCATCTTTATTGGATGCAAACACAGTGAAATTAAATCTACCAACTCATAAAGTATATGTTTTACAAGCTTTAACAAAATATGAGATTTCTAACATCAGGTTTGAAACAAAATTTTAAACAAAAATGAAATATTTTTCAAATGTTAATTACAATGATTGCAATGCATATACCTCATGTACAAAAAGCCCTATCAACCACTCACTCTGGGATATTGATTCTGGAAGGTGTCTCCTTTGGTTGGGTTGATATTTTTCGTTGAATTCCTCGAAAGTGTGTTTTTTTTTTGTGTTTACGTAATTTTACTGTTGGAGTAGACGTTGACCTTGCCAATTCCTGCTGTTTCCTATGACAGTTCAGCTTGAGGTCGGACATAGAGGACAGGGATTTTTTTGGGTGACTATGATGAACAGTGTATTTGGTATCATGATAAGACATGGTGTCTCCACGATTAGATAGGTATTTGTTATACCATGAATGGCTGACACGTTTATGCATGACAAGTCTGTAATCTTCTTCCTCCAAATCACCTTCATCAATCAGATCAATTATCTGCTGTGGAAGAGTCCATCTTTTATGCTTGTTAATTGAATAACTTACAGTATCCGATGTAAAATACTTGTCACTTCTATATACAGGGAGGTCACCATCTGGCAGATCCTGGGCAAGTAGATCAGTAACTTGTTCTGCATCACTACTGTCTGTGCTGTTAAGGAGAAACTTAAACACAAATCCTTCAGTCTTATATCTTGAACAGATGGAGTGACAGTGAGAGCAGACATTTCTTCCAGTGTTTACACCATGCTTTCCCTGCCTTAATACCATTGTGTCACTTAATCTTTGTAACCTGTAAACAATGCAAATTGTGTTGAATACAAAATAAACTTATATAATGATATGATATCAACTATTGAGTTAGATATCTCTCAACCCAATCAGTGATACAATGCAATTGGACACAGATACGAGTGATTTAAAATTATGATATCACTAGCATATGTCAGTAATTACTGATCAAATCTGGATCATCCACAATATTCCAGACTCAATGTTATCAATTACATTATAATAATATCCCTATATATTAGTGACATCATCAATTACATCTTGTGATATTCCTATATATTAGTGACATCATCAACTACATCTTGTGATATTCCTATATAATAGTGACATCATCAATTACATCTTGTGATATTCCTATATATTAGTGACATCATCAATTACATCTTGTGATATTCCTATATATTAGTGACATCATCAACTACATCTTGTGATATTCCTATATAATAGTGACATCATCAACTACATCTTGTGATATTCCTATATATCAGTGACATCATCAATTACATCTTGTGATATTCCTTTATAATAGTGACATCATCAATTACATCTTGTGATATTCCTATATATCAGTGATGTCAACAATTACATCTTGTGATATTCCTATATATCTGTGACATCATCAATTACATCTTGTGATATTCCAATATAATAGTGACATCATCAATTACATCTTGTGATATTCCTATATATCAGTGATGTCAACAATTACATCTTGTGATATTCCTATATAATAGTGACATCATCAACTACATCTTGTGATATTCCTATATATCAGTGATGTCAACAATTACATCTTGTGATATTCCTATATATCTGTGACATCATCGATTACATCTTGTGATATTCCTATATATCAGTGATGTCAACAATTACATCTTGTGATATTCCTTTATATTAGTCACATCATCAACTACATCTTGTGATATTCCTATATATCAGTGATGTCAACAACTACATCTTGTGATATTCCTATATAATAGTGACATCATCAATTACATCTTGTGATATTCCTATATATCAGTGATGTCAACAATTACATCTTGTGATATTCCTATATATTAACAGGGGCATATACGTCCCTGATATTAGTGATTTCATAAATTACACATTAGTGATATTCCTATATATTAGTGATGTCATAAGTGACACATTAGTGATATCATCATTTATTTCTCGGTGTATATATTGCTGATAACACATATAAATCGTCAAAATTCATGATGGCTGCATTTCGTTGTTTTTGTTAGGTTTTTCTGGACACCGCACTGCGATAAAATTAAGAACGGATGACAATTCGAAAATCTAATAGGAGGGCTGAGAAGAAAACAATGATTTCAGAAACCGACAATATTCCATTAATATATATTAGCGGATGTCTGTGGGCTTACATTGCCAAACTGTCCCAATGAGGAATCCAAACAAAGTTAGGTCTATGAATACCCGATACCTTCATCCAGCCTGGCATGCAACCACCACTCTTTATCGTCGAGTCTCTGCGGTCTTACCTGAATGTGTATCCAAACAACTGCTGCCTGTCATACACAGCCTCAAAGTTTCCTTAGTGCTTCACAATCTCTGAGACCTAATATATATAGATTCAGGATAGGAAGCACTGTATTATTAACTTGATTTACTAAGTATGGTGCAATATGCTAGACATAGTCTTTTGAACGTTTGAAAAATAATTTCCTGGTTGCCAATACCAAAGGCGAAAAGACTTAAGCGTCTATACGATTTTGGTACCGCGGGATTTACAAACAAAAACATACTCTTCCATATATTTACCAATTTTTTTTTCTGGTCAAGCATAAGAGAAATTGTTTCATGACGAGTGCTGCAGTCATGTATTCTGTACCATGCGCACAAATATAAGAAATTTTGACATTCATGGTTCAGAAGGGTCGACCATGGAAATATCATCCTGCTGTCGAATTGAAAATTCACATTTCCGATCTTCAAAACGTGGCTTTGAAGTGAGCCAGAAGTGGCAAAAACATACTTGACAAGTTTAATCTGATATAAATACAGTGACAACTCAAAATTCAGAATAAATTGCAATAGTCTTGTCGTCGAATATATCAAACATTTATGTATAGTATCATCATTTTATTCGACAAGTTAGTATTTGTCAGCTTTCCGAAACAATTGGCGTTCCAAGTTAATATTCATTCGTAAGCATTGTATGTTAACGAATTGTTAATATAAAGTCAGCGATAAATTTGTGCACAACGGCCCTATGCCAACCCAGTACATAACCGACGTTGTTTTGTTTACATCGCTCAGCTGATGATCATGACCTCGTGGCATTCCCATCACGTGACAAATGTCATTGGTTATTACCTTTGACCTCTGGCAAATGTATTGGAAACTTGACGGAATTAGCAATGCTTGTCTTCTCTCAATACAACGAAAGTTTATGAAACCGAGACAAAATTGCATTAAAGTTGACAGCTGAAAAGAAATGCAATACTATGAAAAAAAATAATACTAATGGAGGAGGGGCTTATTTGATCATGTGACCAATCGTCATGCATTGATTTTTACAGCTCCGCCATCATTGTTGTTATTTTGAGGCACAGACGTAAAACAATTTTTGACGAAGGAAATACTCGACCAAGATGTCATCACCAAGTCCAGGAAAACGAAGAATGGACACAGATGTTGTTAAACTGTATCCTTTTAATTCAATTTCTTGTATATGATCACTGTGAAACTTGTATCCATTATTTTTCCCGTTGTGAAAACCTTCGGATTGGTTACAGCCTGTTATGGACATTTCGTCATCTGCTTATATTCATATCCTATTTCTGCACGAAACCCATTGATTTTCATCAGGTTATCATTCGCCAAACTTTTTATAAGGCAAATTGCATGAATCACATATCAATGCTTTTTAATTGCACTGGTGTTTGAATCGATCGATGGACAAATGGTACTGGCTGATGAGGTGACCTACTACTGTACGAGAAAGCTCTCACAACTTCATTAATTTTTGCAGGTGAATAACACTTGTCTTTCTGTAGGCAAAAGCGTTTTGACAGCTGGTGGAAAAGTCACAAAAAAAAAAAAAAATTTTTTTCCTGTTGAAATTTTTGTTCAGATGAAAAAGCGTTCCATATTAGATTCATTCATTTATTAATTTAAAGGTCCTGTGTGCAGTTCAAGTATGTGCTTGTTGTTGTAAAGATATGACTTGGGATGACATGAATTTTGGTCTAACTTGAATGTTAATGAAAACTCTAAGCATTCATATATATTCAAAGTAGCACTAAGGCTATTTCAGCAAATGACTGAAGGAATAACTATATGATATGAACAAGTATATCTGGATAGACCATACATAATACTTTTACATTTAATGTGAAAGAACAGGGAAAACACACATTCCTGTTGACTGGCCCAACAAAGAATCAAACCTGTGACTCTGGCAGCATAATGGACCAAAAGAGCCAAAGATGCATGCTCAGTCAGCTCAGTGACAGGGACTGTATTTAACACTATTTACAAGCCACACCAGCCCACCCGTTCTACATCCGGATTAATTGAAAGCTTGTGTGATATTTACTCTAATAGAAGTTTGAAAATAATGGAAAAGTGGTTAATTGATCTATTTGAATCTTGAGTTCCATAATTATATATTCTATTCCGGGTGATCCACCATATATGCAAACACCAGTCCTAATACATACAAATTGACTGCCTGATTCTTCCACATTCCTGGATTTGATGACAAATTTGCATGTTGCAAACAAAATTGCTGACAGATCACCTTGGATTTTAAAATTAGTTTACCACTTTTTTTGGAAAGATACAGGATCTGGATAAAAGATTTTTTCATATGTCAAAATGGTTCCTGATCTTGCATGGTTCCTAAATGTGCTGATATGGGGGGAACGTTTGTTATTGCTATTTCTTTCCCCTGGCTCTCAATAGTTGCATGTGTTTGTTCCATTTTGAGAATGAAGGAACACATTTGAATTTGGCATGATCTAAAGTTCATTATTAGCAAAAGTATTAGATGAATTCTGCTCTAATTTGTGTAAGTTTCCACTGTTAAACACTACTACATGGTTTAGCTTGTCAATATAATACAAAAAGATAATTACCCTGATATCTACCTAGAGCGGAGGATTATAACTTGATGTCAATATCATGAACATGCATGTATCAAAATTTTGATTTGTTGAGATCCAAGCCTGTATTAGATCATATGAAAGGTATTTACTACACCCATTAAATATGATATATAGTTCAATGTAACCGTCCTTAAAATGTAATATGAGATTCACCAACAATTATATGTATGCCAAACCAAAGATGACCTGGTAATGTCAGTGCATTTGTTTATATTGTATGACTCACAGAGTCTGCATTGGTAATTATCCGTTTTTTGTTACTTAGAGTAATATACATGTTTAGTGAGTAATATACATATCTAGATTTAACATCAGGGTAATCATATACTATGAAAAATAAAACTTTTATCAGTTATCAAATTCACTCATTAATTGATACCAATGAAATAGTCTCTATTATATATAATTTACATTACATCACCTGTTGATAAAGTGTTCTGATACCACAAGTGCACACTACCTAATTAGGAAATATTATGACATCACAGTCATATTATGACTTCAGTCATTATTAGTAACATTATGACACCATACTACCGGACTGGAAAATTATGACACCTAATACTACCTGGTATGTGAAATGTTATGGCACCACATGGGCATTACCTTCCACTGAAATGCTACTTACAAATATCAGTATTTCCCAGTGAAACTTATCTGATCAAAAGTATAATATATGAAGATTTTTGGCTTTTGTCATGCTGACTGATTTATCTAAACTTTTCTCATTGGTTTTCACCATCTGTTTTTGCCTGGAGAAGTATCTTGTAATACCTGGTATAGGTTGTATTTTCATCAAGGAACAACACAGCTTCGCCACCCATCACTTCATTGTCATTATACCCTACACTTAAGTAAGGGGGACATAGATCCTTCACTTGGGGAAGGAGGATGTATAGTAATCACTTTTGTCTTTGCATTCATGCTTGTGTGCATCTGTGATAACATTGTGTACAAGATATCTCATGAACCACTGAACAGATTTCATTCATTTTCACAATATAGCATCCCCTGATCATGTTCTACAGGTAATTAAATATTTTTAAAAGGAGACCATTTGTATACAAGGTATCTCATTTACCCCTCAACAGTTTGAATTAATATTCACCATATTATCACTGTCAAGTTCTACACTCAGATTAAAGTGTGATTATAGTTCATGTCATAATTGTTATCTTTCGGTTAGTTTTTGTCAGCTATATATGGGTCATTTGAATTTATGGAGATATTGTTATCAGGTTTTATGGGAAGGAAACCATGCCTCAATTAAAATTGATCTAATGTGATGAATTATTTACTGAGTGTAAGTAATTTTACCAAAATGTAACCAGTTCACATGTAAGAACTTCAGTGAGTTTCAAAACTTAGAATAAAGTCTTTGAAGACCGGGATGAGTTTTGGGAAAACAAAAGTGTATAATCTAACTGATAAGGCCTGGCCCAGAGTACTGATTTATTTTTATGTTAAATTTACTTTTAAACTGTTTATAAGTAAGTCTTGTAGATGAATGATACTGTGTAGTATATAAGATAGAGATTCTTTAAGTAATTCCCAGCTATGTATACTGAATCAATCTGATGTGTAATAATGCTCCAAATGATTGTCCATCAAAGAAATTAAATAGAAATGGATAGAAAGATATTTTTTAGCACAATGAATTGCATTATGTCATATCTGATTAACATGCTACTGAATGTCAGTGAAATGTTAATGAATACATGTATATATGTATAAGAAGAAATAGTACTGCCACTTGGGTCCTGAGGAATGTAGGGGGCAACTGTTGTGGTTGATGGTCATTAAGATACAATAGTATAACAACATGCTTAGAATAAGTGATGTGTTACATAATTGAGAAATAGAAAGTATTTGTGCCTTACTGGTAGTGAAAATTTCTATTCAGCTTTATAGAGTATTCTCCTTGAGGGGAAGGGTTGTTGATAATAAACTATTGGGTGTTTACCATGAGGGTGAGGGTTGATAGTTGTACATGATAGGGTGTTGGCCTTGAGGTTGAGGGGTTGCTAGTTGTAAATTATAGGGTGTTGGCCTTGAGGTTGAGGGGTTGATAGTTGTACATGATAGGGTGTTGGCCTTGAGGTTGAGGGGTTGCTAGTTGTAAATTATAGGGTGTTGGCCTTGAGGTTGAGGGGTTGCTAGTTGTAAATCATAGGGTGTTGGCCTTGAGGTTGAGGGGTTGCTAGTTGTAAATCATAGGGTGTTGGCCTTGAGGTTGAGGGGTTGCTAGTTGTAAATCATAGGGTGTTGGCCTTGAGGTTGAGGGGTTGCTAGTTGTAAATCATAGGGTGTTGGCCTGGAGGTTGAGGGGTTGCTAGTTGTAAATCATAGGGTGTTGGCCTGGAGGTTGAGGGGTTGATAGTTGTAAATCATAGTTTGAATGGGTTGGGCAGGGGACATGCATTACTTTAACAATACTTAATATGTTTTTTGTAGATAACAGTGTTTGACATGAGGAGGAGGGGTTACCAGCTTTAGGTTATGGAGTGTACATGTTCACATTGAAAGTGAGGGGGTTGCTAATGGTTGATTATGGGGTGTTCATGTGGAGTATGAGGGGTTGCTAGTTGTAGGTGCTAACTATGTATCTGTTGGAATATTGTAATAAGGTAACCACTTTAATTAAGGCCATAAGACCAATCTTCAAATATTTACAATAACTAGCTAGTATTTCTATCTGTAAAACCAGTATGAAAAATATGGTCATTATATATATCCTTTACTCAAGATCTTAGGATTGAAAGTAAACATGAAGTCACTATTCTTGGAGGACTGAATGAATTCATCGTGAAATTCTATGGACCCCAGAGCAGTAAGTACTCTTATCTGTCAAATTTAGAATAAAGGCTTATCTTCAAAAATACAATAGCTAGCACTATATAGTTATAAGTAAGTGCTGACTTTATGGTAAATTATTGGGGATAATTAATAAGTCTGTCTTTCAAAGTACACTGTCCATGTTTCATTGGTCTGTATTACAATACACTGTCCATGTTTCATTGGTCTGTATTACAATACACTGTCCATGTTTCATTGGTCTGTATTACAATACACTGTCCATGTTTAATTGATCTGTATTACAATACACTGTCCGTGTTTAATTGGTCTGTATTACAATACACTGTCCATGTTTAATTGGTCTGTATTACAATACACTGTCCATATTTCATTGGTCTGTATTACAATACATGGTCCATGTTTAATTGATCTGTAATTCAATAAACTCTCCCCGCTTGATTGGTCTGACATTGTATTGGATAATGTATGATGTCATAATTTCAGAGGGAATGGGTACATGTTACTATATATAAACTGTCATTGATATCCAATTGTTTGCAAGATCATATTAATATAGGCTGCTGGAGAACTGAATACGTTGCTTTAAGAGTAATGTTAGATAATTTCAGTATGGAAACAATGTCCTTCATTTATGAGTAATGTTGTCTCGTTTCAGCTCCGTATGAAGGAGGGGTTTGGAAAGTACGAGTGGACTTGCCAGAGAAATACCCTTTCAAGTCACCTTCCATAGGTTAATTATTGTTTTTATATATTATACATACATAAATCAGAAATGATTTTTCATTTCATTGATTGATTAATTTGTTGGTAAACTTATACTTAACAAGAAAAGAGACAGTGTGAAAGTCTTTTTTCACTGATAATTTAACTGATAAGGCCACACCAATTTGAAAAGTAGTTGTTCAGGTACTACTGCTCTTAAAATATGAGTTGAGAGAAAAAAATGAAAATAAATATAAAAAGTTCATATTATTTTAGGTAAGATTTTAATTTTGTAGATTGTAAATTTTAGTCGCACAGATGCTTAAATCACCATGAAAGTGAGCACAAGTAAAGCATTTTTATGATGCAGATAAAAAAGTATTTACTGAATTCTAAGACACGTTCCAGTGTTGAATAGAATTCATTCATCCATACCTTTATCATCTTGTATGTAAGAGAAAAATAATTTGGATACTCTCTTGTAGGCCCAGTATTCAACTTTACCTGGTCGATCTTTGCGAGACGCCTTCTAATGATAACTTAGTATTTCTTCTAGCAGGTTTACAGAAGCATTGTCTTTTGGAACCATTGATTATGGACAAATGATCATTATATTAGTATTAACAAGGAGAAAATTCTTGAAATTAAACTGAGTAAATTCATGTTTTAAATAAATGCCTGTGATATTCATCTTGATGGTGAAATATAAATCATAGCATAGGCATATGTAATACTGAATTGAAAATTTATTTGTCTTTATGTGGCCTTCATTGGTTTGTTTCAGAATTATTACACTTAGTTGAAATAACTTTACATTTTAAATGATTGAGCTGTTTGCAGAACTGGAGATTTGGTCATGTCATTTATTATTATTATTATTCATTATTTGGGTATCAACTAAATAAGGAAGAGACATTAGGATACATTCCATATTTAAAACAGGAACACTGTTTCAGAACAACTTCTGATATGCGTCTTAATGTGCATGCTGGTGATCTTTGCATTTTTGCATCAAGGAAATTTTAAGTTATTTGTAATTACTAAAATTAGTATTCTGTATAAAGCATGGGTTTACAAAAAGTGAAATGGATCTTAGTACTATAAGCTTGAGAAGTAATGATGAAAGTATAACGTTTCAACACTTAACATTGTCATACAAGTGAGAATTGTCATATAGTAAATATCCATATTTTTACTAGCTAATATGCTTTAGAATAAATCAGAATTTAAAGTAAAAATTTGAAAAAAATAATTTGGTTTAAAAACCGACCCTCTCGCTCCTGTTTTTTTTTCTAATAAAATTTACTCCAAAGAACCACTTTTCAAATTGGTGTGGCCAAACTGGATATTGTTTATAAATATTTAAAAAAAATGAACCTTAGTTCTTGATCTTTTGATGCAATGTTTTTGCTTAATATATCTATCTTCAGGTTTCATGAATAGGATCTTCCACCCCAACATTGATGAAGTGTAAGTTCATTATTAATTTTTTATTCTACTCTCAACCTCCAAACATATTGAAGGAAGAGGGATGGGGATAGTATTTAGTCATTCCTAATGCAGAGTTACCTGTTCTTGTGAAGAGGTTTTGATAATCAGATTATGTCGTCCTCATCCTACCTCCGTCGGTTTGAACGACATTTCATCCAATGACTTCTGATTGTATCAGTTTGGTTCTGTAGATTGTGATCGCATCATAATAAAGGTACCATCACATTCTAGTGGTGCACTTTTATAATACAATCTTGTCTTTTAGATTAGGCCAAATCTTTTGAATTTTCACCAATATTATCATAGAATACTGAAGATGTGAACACTTGTTGCTCACATTCAGACATTTTTATGTGAATCATGTCCTTTTTGTAAAATTCTTGTGTTCATATTTTTACATTAACATAAAATTATCTATAAATGTTGTACTACACATAAAAGCCATTGCATTGTATATAGTTGAATATATCCCCACAGGTTTTTATCACAACATGTCTGTTATTGTACATTTTTTTCTGGGTAAACTTAAGAATCGAGCTCATAAAAGTTGAGCATTGCTCATATTGTCAAATAAATCTGTAACATTTTTCTGTGCAGTTTTACATTAACATCCATGATGATCTTGAGCTGATTTTTAGGTGATGAAGTTGATTAAATTATGTTGTCCCCATTTCGTAAGAATGACTATTTTACTTTCAGTTCAGGCACAGTGTGTTTAGATGTCATTAACCAAGCTTGGACAGCTCTATATGGTGAGTATTTGTGAAGAGCTTGAACAATTCAGTTTTACTCCTGGCTTTGTTGGAGTTATTTTCTATTTTTGAGAGATTGTGTACAAATTGTCTGCAAGTTTTACTGCTTGACTGTTCTGCTTTTCAGTTAGGGGTTTTAGAAATATATATAAGATGAAAATACAAATCTAATGATTTTCTGGAAGTTTATTTCAGTCGAAGAAAGTGAATTACTTTCAGTCTGTTTACACTATATTGTTTCTCATCTGAATATCTCATCATGCAGAATTTTTACCACCCATTTTGAGGCTTTCGACAATATCAGTTGGGAAGGAAGGAGTTTTTGCTTGCCATTCCTGAAATTTTCAAATTTAAGTGGTTTCCATGTACTTGGAAGTATTTAACCCCTTACAAATAGCATCTCTGTCAAACCTGTGTTGATCAGCTGTCATTTTCCTCCATCCAACAAAGTTGGTAGGGGATATTCAAATCGGTTCTGTCGGTCCCTCCATCCATCAGGATGCTGCTTTCCAAATTTTTATGAAACTTGGTCGGTACAATTGTTACCTTAATACTTTGCCCATGTTGGATTTACGGCAAATTACTAGCATATGTGATGAGGCTGCTGTGACATGATTGGCTGATTTCTTTAATCACTCTTGGATGCTGCTTTCCACTTGCTACCTTTTAAAGGAATGGTAGGATTTTAATAAAACTTGGTTGGTACACTTGGTACAGTAATCTCCAGCCCAAATTGAATGAACAGCCAATTTCCGTGTTAATTTAATGAGGCTGCTGTTACCTAATTCTTTTGAATTTTTATCAGACTTACTTGGTAAACTTATTACATGATCTCCTCACTCAAGTTTGATCAGCTGTTGATTCTACGTATATTTAATCCTGGTGCTTTTAATCAATCGGCTGTTTGTTGAAACAGTTTTTGGGATCACTTTCCACATTTCTTGAATGATCAATTTTTTAGGAGACTTGCTTAGCAGATTTAGTACCTTAACCACTCTCTTAAGCTTGATTATCAGTTAACTCCAAGAATATCTAATGCTGATTGCTTTGCACAGGATATTTTCTGGAGTAATAATAAGAGACCTTTAAAAGACTATAAACATATCTCTTATCTATTAAGCAGCCTTACCTTCCAGGACATGAACGTTAATTAAGCAGCCTTATCTCCCAGGACGAACGTTAATTAAGTAGCCTTACCGTTTATGACTTGAATGTTAATTAAGCAGCCTTACCGTTCATGACTTGAATGTTAATCAAGCAGCCTTATCTCCCAGGACGAACGTTAATTATGCAGCCTTATCTCCCAGGACAAATGTTAATTAAGCAGCCTTACCATCCACAACTTCAAAGTTAATTAAGCAGCCTTATCTCCCAGGACTTGAACGTTAATTAAGCAGCCCTATCTCTCAGGACTTGAACATTAATTAAGCAGCCTTATCTCTCAGGACTTGAACATTAATTAAGCAGCCTTATCTCCCAGGACAAATGTTAATTAAGCAGCCTTATCTCCATGGACAAATGTTAATTAAGCAGCCCTATCTCTCAGGACTTGAACATTAATTAAGCAGAATTATCTCCCAGGACTAGAACGTTAATTAAACAACCTTACCGTCCACGACTTGAATGTTAATTATGCAGCCTTATCTCCCAGGACAAATGTTAATTAAGCAGCCTTACCATCCACAACTTCAAAGTTAATTAAGCAGCCTTATCTCCCATGATGAATGTTAATTAAACAGCCTTATTTCTCAGGATGAACATTTATTAAGCAGCCTTATCTCCCAGGATGAAAGTTAATTAAGCAGCCTTATCTCCCAGGATGAATGTTAATTAAGCAGCCTTATCTCCCAGGACTTGAACATTAATTAAGCAGCCTTTCCTTCTAGAACATGAACATTAATTAAGCAGCCTTACCATCCACAACTTCAAAGTTAATTAAGCAGCCTTATCTCCCAGGATGAATGTTAATTAAGCAGCCCTATCTCTCAGGACTTGAACATAAATTAAGCAGCTTTATCTCCCAGGCCTTGAACATTAGCAGCCTAACTCTTGAACATTACTTAAGCAGTCTTACCTACCAGGACTTAAACCTTAAATAATCAGCCTTATCTCCCAGAACTTGAACTTAAGATTAGCAGTTTTAACACAATCCTCTCTAGATGATGTTTATCAGAGCTTAGACATTATACTATCATTGGAGTGATACAATGTTGGTAATAAATTATACAACCGTTATAGACTTTCCTGTAGTGTTATCCATATTATGCTGATCAGCTGATTTGGGTATCAACTTCATGTACTTTTAAAACCCAAATTATACATACAGGGGCACATTTAGGATCTCCTCCAGTTATCCACATAGCATGTTTAGTATGGTAAATGTACACAAGTCCAATATTAACACAGTAATTTATAGATTCCCAGGATATAATGCAGTGATGAGGAAACTGATTAATACATTTGTAAATGGTTACCAAAGTATGATTGTTGGATACGGCATGTAGATCTACTGTAATATAAGTGTGCCGCCAGTGTTATCTACACTAAAACTCAGCAACAGTCTTAGCTAGAATGTTTTTCTGAAGGCTGGGATGAAAATCAATTTGTTTGATTTTAGTCAAAGATTTTCTTTATAAGTCTATTTGGTATTTCAGATCTGTCAAACATCTTTGAGTCTTTCTTGCCCCAGCTTCTTACCTATCCCAACCCCATAGATCCACTGAATGGTGATGCTGCTGGCATGTACCTACACAAACCAGATGACTACAAAAAGAAAGTACAAGGTAATGTATTCATACTGTATTGAATGTCAAGGATCTATAGTAATAATCATTGATAGAAAATAATTGTCACCAAGTAAGCATTAATGTGAAGTATAACACTAGATATGTACAGTCCAAACTTGTTATTTCAAAATTCAAGAGACCATGCAATATATTTTGACTTATCCAAATTTAGAGTCAATGTCAAATCAGGTTGACAATGTCAGTTTCTCCACATTGATAGTGTTAAATGAAACATAGGCTACCTGACATGTTACTCTATGCTTCAGACAAGATAAACTGACCTGTTGTTTGAAAGGGTTGTCAATTAAGAGAAACAAATAGATCTCTACTTTCTCCTTTTATTGTTTGTTCCTGATGAAACTCCTGGTGTGCATGCTAAGCATTCATGTCTTGTGTAAACATGCTACTTATTTAACATACTGGTAAGTCACTGCTACAGGATGGTGACACTAATTAAGAAGCCAACTTTTAATTGGATAATTAAACTGGGAATTGATTGTAAGAAATTAATGGTGTACTGCTACATGGTAATTAGCCAAGTGTTATGCACAGGTGACTTTCAGCCCTGTGTATGTATTGTGGATCTCTTTAGAAGACATACTGCTGTTTTGACAAAACTTGATATCGAGAAACTAAAAGACTATTTTCTTGCTATGCAATTGAAGGGAGTGAAAATTTACATTTACTCAAACAGAATTTTGACTCAAGGCATTTCTAGACAATGAATTTCAACTGAATATCATCAACATTTAATAATTAAGCATAAAAAAGTAATTCCTGTTTCTGTTAATTCATGTAATGGTCCAAAGTCAAGGTTGACTTTCCTTTTTGGTTTGAAATGAATATTCTAATTCCCAGTTCAACCACATTTACATGATTCCCAGGATTATCTGTATATCCTGTAAAAGTGTCCCACTGATTCCCATTCTTCTATTTCCTGTAAAAGTGTCCCATACTTCTACAGTATCTAAGTTGGTTAAAGTGTCACACTGATTACCCATACTTCTATATCCTGTAAAAGTGTCACACTGATTCCCATACTTCTATATACTGTAAAAGTGTCACACTGATTCCCATACTTCTATATACTGTAAAAGTGTCACACTGATTCCCTTACTTCTATATCCTGTAAAAGTGTCACACTGATTCCCATACTTCTATATCCTGTAAAAGTGTCCCACTGATTCCCATACTTCTATATCCTGTAAAAGTGTCACACTGATTCCCATACTTCTATATCCTGTAAAAGTGTCACACTGATTCCCATACTTCTATATCCTGTAAAAGTGTCCCACTGATTCCCATACTTCTATATCCTGTAAAAGTGTCCCATACTTCTACATACTGTAAAAGTGTCCCACTGATTCCCATACTTCTATATCCTGTAAAAGTGTCCCACTGATTCCCATACTTCTATATCCTGTAAAAGTGTCCCACTGATTCCCATACTTCTATATCCTGTAAAAGTGTCACATACTTCTATATCCTGTAAAAGTGTCACACTGATTCCCTTACTTCTATATCCTGTAAAAGTGTCACACTGATTCCCATACTTCTATATCCTGTAAAAGTGTCACACTGATTCCCATACTTCTATATCCTGTAAAAGTGTCACACTGATTCCCATACTTCTATATCCTGTAAAAGTGTCACACTGATTCCCATACTTCTATATCCTGTAAAAGTGTCCCACATTCCCATACTTCTATATCCTGTAAAAGTGTCACACTGATTCCCATACTTCTATATCCTGTAAAAGTGTCCCACTGATTCCCATACTTCTATATCCTGTAAAAGTGTCCCACTGATTCCCATACTTCTATATCCTGTAAAAGTGTCCCATACTTCTATATCCTGTAAAAGTGTCCCACTGATTCCCATACTTCTATATCCTGTAAAAGTGTCCCACTGATTCCCATACTTCTATATCCTGTAAAAGACCTCAGTTCAACAGTTGATATATTTTATATAGGATATATATGTGTATTTTAAAGATTTTTTTTGCTAAAAGTACTTTGTAATAATTGCTTACAGACATACAGCAGAATATCAGTGTTTTTCAAAAATTTCATGCATTACTTTTTGTAGAACAATTGTGCTGCAGGAACATCAGAGATCTTGACTAGACTGAAGGACTGAAGACATTTTGTTGCCAAGTTTGGGATTTTTCTCTATCAAAGTTCTTTGTTGAACCATTTCATTCCCGTAAGCCATATTCACTCTGTGCTGATGAAATAGCATCTACTCAAGATTCTCATACCATTGTGTCATCAAGTGAAGCTCCTTGCTAGTAATAAGTTTGCAATGTAAACCTACTTGTGTTTGAAACAGATCATGAGGACTGTTGATGAATTTGACGGTCAGTATATAAACTCAGGGATTCTTTTTATCAAATCTACATCCTTGAAGATGTTTGAGATCTTATTGAATTTCTCTTGTAACTCAGATGTATTCTTGGGGTACAAATCTTATGTACAGTGAAATTGCTAAATGTCACATGTTCCAATATAGGCTTAACCTGCTTGAATTACCGGGTCATTCCTTCGATTTACAAAATTATATTCTTGTCAGGTCAGGTTTGAATGTGGTTTATTGGTATGAAATGGATTCATATATTGATGTAGAAATGATAATCTTCACAGTTAACTGTGACTATACTTGACATATAAAGGGATTTAGGAAAGACAACAGTTTGTATGATACAAACTTTGCTTGTGTTAAATAGGTACATGTATAGTATGTTATAGCTTAATTGTATGGTAACCTGGTGCATGCTTGGGAACTTTAGAATCAAGTTATTAGTTTAACAAAATGAAAGAGGTTCTCCAGTACTTTTTATGTATGAAGATATCCGAAACTTAATTTACACATGAAATCTCATGTCAGCACAAGCTGATATCTAGATGACAAATTTATCTAAACTCTAATGCCCATAATCAATAGACTACAGATGTATGGAACGGTGGAGATATCCTACCTACCATTTAACTGTTAGGTCTAGCTTACTTACAATATGTATTTTATTGTTATCCAAGTTGACATTCTAAATAAGATTATAGATTTAATCTGGTCTTTCAGTCATTTCACAGTGCTACAAATTGGTTTTTCTACCCACTTTGTCTTTCAGACTTTCTTACAAGAAAACCTTGAGAAAAAAACTTCTGAAATGGTGATGTTACACATGTTTTTCAATGGTATCATCAAAATATTTGGTAGGTCATTTGATTCTGCATAAGGCATGCAGAAGACAATAAAACAATGTGCATAGTTGTAGAGTGACTACAGGGCATATGATTACCGACTGGTCTCTGATGCTTCAAATGATCTTTCAAGCATAAGAGACCGCAGCATTGTCCAGGTAATTTGGAACAACATTTAAACAGTGATATACAACAACAGAACAACACCATTGTCCCATTGAAAGAAAAATTCACTCATTACCTAACAACAAAGCACTATTCACATGAACATCTCCTGCTGGTTATTAATGTAGAACAACTTTTATGAGCTTCACTCTTTCCAGAAGTAGAAGACTTGAACATAAAAATTGAAGCAAGTATATAATTTGTTTGAAGATGATGGAATCGACCATTAAATGTAATGTATACTTGGTCATATTATTTGATTGAAGATAGAATTAATTAAAAAGGTTTAAATGTAGATTCCATTTCACATACCAATAAGAAATAAAAGATTTTAAAAAATGATATGAAATTTAAATAAGAAAACTTGCTTTGATTACCTCAATACCAAGGTAATAACAGACACAATTATTTTTGAAAGGGAAAAAATAATCTTACAATAAATGTGTGAATTTCTGAATTGTAGAATGATTAGATATTCTAAACAAATCTCTTATTTTCAGATGAAAGGTTCCAGTAGCACTGACTTAAGATACCTCGTAAATGATTAAAAATTGCTGCAAGTGTTTAAGGGTTATATACGTAATTTTATGTTGATATAGAGAAAAAATGTTGACCCTGTGTGTGGAGTAAAACTAACGATGGTTATCCCCTGGTCTACTCTTCATTGAGTTCATGTAGTGTACCATTGATTATTGATCATGTTGTAAGGAAAATCCAAAATGCAATATAACTGCAAATGTTGATTGATGTAGTGTAGATTCAGAACTATACACCAGTGTATTTGATATACAGAAATATCAATTTTAATGTGATTTTAATAGTTGGAAATATATTGATTTATCCAATTAATTGTGATTACTGTTTTAGGCGTATCTTTAAACAACACTAAAGATATTGACTTTTGTTACGTGCAATTTTGTTTTACATTTTAAAGGAAGATGACAAGATAATTAAAATTTCAAATTTTTTGTATAAACCAAGTATGAAATAAGACACTTTGAATTGCGATTTTGATTGACAGGAGAAAAAGTTTGTTGTTAAAATTTATTTTGTGACAATTTAAATTAATTTCATAGTTCAATTTATTGGTAATAGAAAAAGAAAACGCTTCCTCTACATTCCTTTTGACATGATAAGAAAGAAATAATTAGAACTAGCAAAAGTTTTGTATATTTTCTTGATGAAAATGAATTTTAATTTGGATAAATCAAATTTGCTGTTTGTCAGAAGACATTAGTTAAATGTGGTAGGTGACAATAACTACCTGATAGAAGAATTTTGGGGTAAATGAAAATGATATTTGGCAAATGGAGAGATTTTGATGAGAAATTATTGCATCTTGAATTTTCTAACTTATACATATATATGACTGAAGAAATTGTGTCTGTTAGTGTGGTTTGCCTGGTGTGTAGGTATGTTGTGGTTTGTATAAGAGATAGCATGTTTGTATGGGAGACTGGATATGGATGCCTGAGTGGGTTTTCAGCTTTTAATATTATAATGCATTTTATCTTTGTTTTGCTACTTGTCCCTGTTTTATTAGAGAAAGATTTCACATAAATTGTTATCTCCATCAGTTTGATCTTCTATTAGATCTCTGTACTGTACTCTTATATCATAGCAGATAGCATCAGATGTTGTTAAATAAACTACTA